AAGAGATGCTTCGTTCGGCTTGAATTTGCTGGCCCAGAGATGTATGGATATGAATTAGGATATGTACTTTATGTTTTGTAGATTTTGAATTTTGACATTTCATCTGCACAAGAAATTGAAAGAGGTCGCTGGAAACAAATGGAAACAAGTATCCCAAAGTTTAGAAGACAGAAACGGACACAGAATATTAGACACAAAATATTAGACATCAATGAAAAGTTAAAAGAATGGGAAAACTACATTTCTGAATTATTTTAAGATGAGAGAGTAGAACACTATACACCGATTGCTATATCAGGTCCATCTATAACAGAAAGTGAGGTAAGACGTTCAATACAAACGGCAAAAAATGGAAAAGCACTTGGCTCCGATGAAGTAAGTGCTGAAATACTAAAGTTTTAGGGAGAAAATGGAATTAAAGCTCTGTGTAATCTCTTTAACAGAATTTATGACACTGGGATATTACCAACTGATTGGTTAAAGTCGACATTTGTCACAATACCTAAGAAACATCGTCCAAAGACATGCGGTGATTATCGGACAATAAGTCTGATGAGTCACGTTTTGAAAATCTTTCTGCGAGTAATACACAGCAGAATTTATACGCTGTTAGAGGACAGAATTAGCAATACTCAATTTGGGTTTAGGAGTGGCTTGGGTACAAGAGAAGCCTTGTTTAGTATACAGTGCTAGTACAGAGACGCAGAGATATAAATCAAAATGAGTATATTTGTGCAATCGATTTTGAAAAAGCTTTTGACAAAGTCCGACATAACAAAATGCTAGAAATATTGGAAACAGCTGGATTGGACGATAAAGATCTACGAATAATTACAAATCTATACTGGCATCAAGTAGCAAGAATAAAGGTTGAACAAGAACTGTCGGATGAAATAAATATAAAAAGAGAAGTGAGACAAGGCTGTATATTGTCGCCTTTACTTTTTAACTTATATTCGGAGGAAATATTTAAGAAAGCCTTAATGGAGACAACCGAAGGTATTATTGTGAATGGAGTAACCGTCAACAATATTAGATATGCCGACGATACCTTAGTTCTTGCCAATTGCGGAGAAGACCTTCAAAATCTAATGAACAAAATAAAACAGACTTGTGATCAGTATGGATTAAAACTCAACGTTAAGAAAACTAAATATATGATAGTTAGCAAACAAAATTATATACATGATGACGGTTTAAAAGTCGGATATGCCACACTGGACATAGTAGAGAAACTCGTGTATCTCGGCAGTAATATCAATGAGAGCTGGGATCCAACCGCAGAAATTAAAAGCCGAATAGAACAAGCCCGAGCTGCCTTTGTAAAAATGAGAAACGTACTTTGCAGTCATGATCTTAGCATTGACCTTAGAGTTCGTATGATATCTTGCTACATCTTTCCTGTCCTGCTGTATGGAGTAGAAGCGTGGACCCTAACTGAGGCTATACTTAAACGCTTGACAGCCTTTGAGATGTGGGTATACAGACGACTACTGAAAATAAGCTGGGTCGACAGAGTTAGAAATGAGGAGGTCCTTAGACGGCTGAACCAAACAACACAACTGGTCAATATAATAAAGAAACGCAAGCTGGAATACTTCGGTCATATTATGAGACACCCTGAAAAATATGATCTTTTACATCTGATCATTCAGGGAAAGATCCAAGGTAATCCTTGTCCTGGTAGAAGAAGAACATGATGGCTGAAAAATCTAAGGCAATGGTATGGAAAATCAACTACATCGTTATTTAGAGCTGCTGTCAATAAAGTCACGATAGCGAATATGGTAGCCAACATGATATCCAACGATCGATAACGGTCATGGAACTAGAAGAAGAAGAAGATTTTGAAAAAGCATTTAATAAGGTTCATCATAAAAAGCTTGTAGATATATTAAAAAGCAAAAATATTGACAGTCGTCAAATAATTGACAATTGTTCTGATTGTTAAAGAATTGACAATCAGAACACCCGAGATATCAAAAAACAGAGAGGAGTCCGCCAGGGAGAAGTTTTGAATAACTTGTGTTTTGCAGACGATACAATAATAATGGCGAATAACAACAATTACTTACATAACGTAATGCAACGACTTAACAAATGCTGTCGTGAATACGGACTAAGGATGAATTTGAATAAAACTAAATGCATGATCATAACTATTAGCAGATGCAAACATCCAATTGATTTTTGAGGAAACTGTAATTGAGAGTGTGAATGCCTACAAGTACTTAGGAACATGGATCAAGTGTAGACCAAACCAAAGAAATTAAGACACATATTGAAAGCAGCACGTGCATCATTCGTTAAGCTTTAAAAATATTCTTTGTTGTTGGGATATAAGGTTAGGATACGCATAAAAATGCTCCGGTGTCGCGTATTCACTACTCTTTTTTTATGACTTGGTAGCATGGATATTAAAACAAGTTTATCTAAATAAGGAGGCCGCCTTTCAATTTTGGTGTTACAGAAGAATCCTACGAATATCATAGACTCAAATGATGCCAAACGCAGAAGTTACTAGATGAATAGGAAATGAAGCTGAAATAATATTGACTATTAAAAGAAAAAAACTTGAGTACTTAGGCCATGTTATGAGAGGGCAAATATACTCACTATTGCAGCTTATTATACAAGGAAAAAGTCGAGGAAAGCGAAATGTGGGAAGACGAAGAATATCGTGGCTTAAGAACTTGAGGGAATGGTTGGAATGCAGTAGCGCAGAACTATTTAGATCGGCAGTCAAAAGGGTCCACTTAGCCATAATGATTTCCAAACTTCGATACAAGATGGAACTTTTGGAATATTTTGTTTTTAACAAATTTCACAGGTTGTTGCAAAATAAGATGAAAAAACGCAAGTTTCTTTTTACATGCCGTATTTGGGTAAAACGTTGACATTTTTTAGAAAACATTGGTACAACAATTCCTAAAAAATAGCCCTATAATGTAAAAAGATCATCGCAATTCAATCAACAGTCAGAAAAAAACTTGTTAAGTATCTTAGTTAAGAGTATGTTAACTAAGATCGTTTCTAAAATAAATCCATTGTTATGGAACTGACAGGAAAATGGTAAATAAATACAGGTATATATGCAATCCTATTGAACCAGCCCCCAATACCTACGGAAACAGGACCACCTATACTAGTAGCAGAAATAAGAGCAGCCATAATATCACTAAAAGAAGGTAGAGCTCCAGGACCAGACGGAGTACAATCTGAATTTCTTAAACTTCTTGATGATGAATCTTTAAGAGTACTATGTAAAATCTTCAATAATATCTATGACACAGGCAATATCCCAAAAGATTGGCTACTTTCAGAATTTATTACCTTACCAAAGAAACAGGGAGCAAAAAAGTGCGGAGAATATAGGCTAATAAGTCTAATGAGCCATACATTAAAACTTTTTCTTAAAATTATACATCGTAGAATATACAAACTATGCGAAGAGAGAATACAAGACACACAGTTTGGATTCATGAAAGGCGTAGGTACAAGAGATGCACTGTTTAGTCTACAAGTATTATTTCAAAGATGCAGAGATATGACTTGCGATATTTACACCTGCTTTGTGGACTACCAAAAAGCATTTGATACAGTTCAAAACCAAAAAATGATGGATATTCTAACAAAAGCCCAAATGGATGATAAAGATCGGCGTATAATACAAAATTTATACTGGAACCGATCAGCCACAATAAGAACGAATTTTGTTTTTCACATATATTATTTAATCTATATTCAGAGGAAATATTTAGTGAAGCCTTGGAAAAATGCGAACATGGAACACTTCTAAATGGAGAACGCCTAAACAACATCCGTTATGCAGACGACACCGTTATTTTTGCAGACAGTTTGAACAGTTTACAGCAACTAATAAACAAAGTAAATGAAGTAAGTGAAAGATTTGGACTTCAAGTAAATATAACAAAAACTAAATTTATGATCATCAGCAAAAATAAAGTTAGAGACGCTCAACTACTTATCAATAATACACCAGTGGACCGAGTAAAACAGTATAACTATCTTGGAACAACAGTAAATGAACAATGGGATCACTCACAGGAAATAAAATGTAGAATAGAGAAGGCTAGGAGTGCATTCGATAACATGGCCAAACTCTTTAAAAGCCACAATCTTAATCTGGAGATAAAAGTAAGGCTCCTACGATGTTATATATTCTCAATATTGTATTACGGAGTTGAATCCTGGACACTAACTGAAGCAATGGAGAAAAAACTTGAAGCCTTCGAGATGTGGCTATACAGGCGAATTCTAAGGATATCATGGACAGACAAGATAACCAACGAGACCGTATTACGAAGAGTGGGCAAAGAAAGAGAGGTGATGTATACCATTAAAAGGAGAAAGTTGGAATATCTCGGATATATATTGAGAAACAGCACTAAATACAGATTACTGAAGGTAATGCTACAGGGTAAAGTATTCGGAAAGCGAGGAATTGGGAGAAGGAGAATATCATGGTTGAAGAACCTGAGGAAATGGTTCTCCACAACAACAACGAATCTATTTAAAGCATCAGCTAATAAAATAATTATAGCCAGAATGATTGCCAATATTCGGAACCAATAGGCACTGAAAGAAGAAGAATATATGCAATATGTTATTTTTCAGGTTAGTGTTTTTTATATATCGACAACCTATAACTTGCAAATCTGGAAAAAACACCAACATTGATCCCCCAATTAAGGACTTTCATTTGACACATATCTTATCTTAAGTAACAATTATGTTTATTTTACATATAAGTATAGTGCTTAAATATCCAATTTTATATTGAACGATTTTAATAAAACTTAAAAATAAATCCGTTTTTTAATAAAGCATTAAATTCTGGAGCCCCGAAATGTTGCGGTCGCTTGGGGGCGCTAGTTTAATGTATAAAGGCAGTATCGGAAATATCTAAAATATTCTTAACCCAAAACAAAACTTTATAATATAAACTTTCTGATTATTGAATATAAAATCATACTTACAGTACATAGCAAATAACTCCCACTGACCACATGTCGGTTCCGTATCCGATTTCATCGAAGTTCACAACTTCGGGAGCTACAAACTCTGGAGTGCCGAATAAAACTTGAAGTTTCTTGTTGGGATCAAACTTCCTGGCGAGGCCGAAGTCGATTATCTTAATCCTGTTTCCGGTTTTTGTCAGACAAAGGATATTTTCCGGCTGAAACCGATTTAATCAGTGGTTTATTGGCGATAAAACTAAAGAGGATGTGTAGAAGTAAGTGTTTCAGATTTTATAAAGTGTATAGAAGAAACTATGAAATTTGTGAACTTATACGAGAATTTCTCGACATCTACGTGGACTAACAAAGAAAATGCATTTTTTTGCTAAAAAACATTTTATTTTTCTGTATAATCTTTCTTCTATTCGCTGTATATACATACTTCTCAAAGATATTATCCATTAACAATAGATTCATTTTATGTAAGTCCATGAAAGCAAGTACTCAACATAGCTATTTGAAATAGTGATATTCTTGAAATTAGATAAAAATCTATTACCGTCGAGGCAGCTTCTTAGATTTGGTAGAGCTCATAATCGCTCTTACACAAGTGTGATGTAAATAACGAATAAGGCATTAATTTATTTGTTATCCTGACAAAGAACTGATTTTTCTTATAGTGGAAGAGGTTATAAGCCCTCTATATTATATTATATAGAGTAGTGGTACAAGTGGAAGAGGAAATGCTAGACAAAACATCTGATAAAGGGCCTCCTATGGACAAAGAAACTTGGGTTGTGAAATGATAAAGTACAACAGGAGGTTGGGGACAAGAAAGAGGCCAGAAAGAGTTCTAAAATAGAGAAAAATAAGGATACATGCAAGGTAGCAAAGCGCTCTGTAGCTATTGATAAGAAAAGATCATCTGCAAAGCTGTGTGAAGAGTTGGAAACATCCAAGGGAATGAAAAGTTTATACAGCAGTGCTAAAGCAAGGGACAAGTTATTATCAAAAGACTTGACTCATGTGCGTCAAAATCAGGGTGTGGATATAAGAATGGATCCGATATTAAAATAAAGCAAAGATGGCATGAGTACTTCAGAAAGTTAGTTGCTAAATAAAGAACACCAGAGGAGAGGCAGGGACTCCAAATAAGGATATATTCCATCATAAAAAATGGTAAGTAGGTAATAGGCAATTTAACAGCTCCTCTGGAACCCTTTTCCGAGCTGCCGTCAACAAAAGTATTATAGCCAATTTGATAGCCAATGCACGATAATCGAGCAGGGCACAAGAAGAAGGAGAAAAGCAGTAAGACCTGATGGAATACCTATAGAGGTTTAGAAGGCTCTAGAAGAGGAAGCGGTTGATGTATTGTCGCAAATGATGAGTAGGATATGTGAGGAAGACAGGATGCCCAATGTATGGAGGGAGAGCATGATGGTATCACGGTAGAGCGGGATAAAGTTAATTTCACACATAATAAAAGAATCGAAGAGAGCTGTAGAGCAAAGGTTAAGGTGTGACACATTGATAGAAGGATAATAACAGTTTTGGTTTATGCCAGGAATGAGGTCAATGGATGCCTTGTTTGCTTTGAGACAGTTGATAAAAAAATATTGCGAAAAAAAGCTACATTTGGTATTTATAGATCTTGATATGGAATAATACACAGTTTCTAGACAAGAGCGATAGAGAAATGGGTTCCAGAGAAATACGCAAGGCTCGTGAAGGATAAGTATGAGGAAACGTACACCAAAGTAAGGACTTCTGTCGGATTGAGGGAAAGGAAAGTTTTAGAGTGACAGTTGATTTGCATCAAGGTTCTTCACTGAGTCACTACCTGTTTATTATTGTTATGGATGGAGGGGGCTCGTTGCTCAATGTGAATTGTTCTGAAAATACAAACGATCTCCGAAGTGGAAATCGGATTTCAAAATAAACGTATTTAAATTGAAATTGTGGTTAATTTCCGGTAAAGGTCTATTAATATTGCATTTTTTTTATTCCTTAGTCTGGTCTTAGTAAGTTAAGTGTCAACTAAAAGAAGACATTCGTTGTCATGTATTTTAAGGCAGAAATTAATATAGTAACAATTGTGTTTTTGTACATTTCCTTAAGTTATTATTTCTATTTACATATGTTATTTCAATTTGCATTGCTTCCCACGTTCTATCGCCAGTGTATATGCTTTCTGTCTATAAATGTTACCTAGATATTTCTGATTGCCTTTACTACTTTTGATTATTTGAAGTAACAGATGTCTTAGAACTTGTTTGCTGTGTTCATTCTCAATCTGCCATCGAATTTTCCCTATCACGTACAGATTTTTCACAAATCGCCATCTAACTTTTGTACGAAAAGAGAGGTAAGTGTGTGTATGAAAGATATGCCACTAAAACAGACCCATCAGCCACAGAATGTTTTAAAAGAATGGTCTGCTATTGTGACTATGCTTAATAAATGAAAATATTAAGCAAAAACATTCCCTAGAAATAAAATGTAGAATAGAAAAAGCAAGATCTGCATTTCAAAAAATGGCTAAGCTATTCAAATGCCATGATTTATCAGTACCCATAGGTTAATATCTTTCCTATACTGTTGTATGGAGTTGAGTCGTGGAGTCTCACAGACGCTACCTGCAAGAAAATTGAGGCTTTCGAAATGTGACTTTATCTTCAAATCCTGAACATATCATATACCGACCACGTTACTAACCACAACGTTTTATTAAAAATGCAAAAAGGAAAAGAGTTGTTAACCACAATAGACAGCCAAAATCGAATACCTTGGTCACATCATAAGTAACAGCGAAAAATATGGAAAAATTAATTTTACAAGGAAAAGTAGGAGGTAAACGAGGACCAGAAAGGCTAAGAATTTCCTGGCTGAAAAATCTACGTACGTGGTTCAACACAAAAATCCCAAAAATTTTTTCAGAGCAGCAGTTTGCAAAATACAGATTGCCATGATTGTCGCCAGAATCCGAAACGGATAGGCATTACAAGAAGAAGAAGATTAAGCAAATATTAATATAATACAAAATATTATTATTAAGAAATTAATATAATGTTAGTTGCCATTAAACCAAAAGAAACTTCCCCTTTCTTTAGTTTCTAAATATATATTCCTGTGAATTTCAGTCTCTTGAGGTTCCAGAGGTAATCAGCCATCATAATAGTATTTTACCTGCCTTAATAACGTTGCTTCTTTAATTTAATATCTTAATGGAATCTCTCCTCTTGTTCTTCGCTTTAATCTCCCAAATTATTGAAGAAATAGTTTAGGTGTGAGTGAAGAAAATAAAGTTTTATACTCATAAGACAACTTGGGTTTTGGAACTTTCTTAACAATCCCTTTACTTCCTCTTTGTAATCCAGATTTTAGAAAACTTCTTACTTAAATAATGGAAACATAGTTTATCCTGATTAACACTTTCACGAATTGTTTCATTAAACCCAGTTTAATATGTAAAGGTGAAAGCAGAACATGTTTAGAATTTAACAATAGACTGTTTATGACACCCTTTAAGCTTGATGTTAACTAGGTTCCTATTTTTCAAAATTTCAATGTTTAATGATTGGACCTATCTCTGCTATCCCATTAGCAAAGAAAACAAGAGCATTTAGTAAATCCACTTTGCAAACTCGAAGAATCATCCTGAAATACTTCACACCCAAGAGAACAGCGCCAACAGAAACAAAAATCAAAGTCGAAGGACTAAATACGGAATTCACAAAATACTTATAAAGAAAAAGAGTATCAGAGATCAATGGGAATGAAATATTAGAAAACGATAACATCCAGGAAAGCTGGAAAAACTCAAAAATAACATAATTAACGCAGCAACGGAATCACTTGGAGAGAGAAAAGTGACGAACCCTAACATATAAAAAAATAACACCATGGTCTAGAGGGAAAGTGGAGACAAAATGTAAAGAAAAAAAGAAGGTATTTTTGCAATTCAGAACACAACAAACACAACAGGCATATAACCACTATAAACGAATCAGAAATGAAACGGATACTTTAGTTAAACAAATAAAAACACTGGCAGAGCTTCTCCAAACAGATGGAACATAACTTCTACAAAACACAAAAAAAAATATGAAGAATGGTCAGAGGATAAAGAAAAGAGATGAACGGAGCGGAAATAATAAAAACGGAACACATTCAGAAAGAAACATGGATAGACTACTTTCGATCCCTTTTTGCTAAAGGTGACGATAATGAACCACCAACACCACCACCACCAACACCAGAGGTGACGACAAACGGAGAAATAAATATTGAGGAGGAAGAGGTAAAGAAAGCAACAAGCAAATTAAACAATAGAAAATCACCAGGAGAAGATGAAATACCGAACAAACTCCTAAAGTACAGATTACCAAATCTGACCAAACAACTATTCAAACTAATCCAAAAAATAATAGAACAAAACAGAATTCCTCAAGAATGGAGATCAAGCATCCAAATTCCGCTCTTCAAAAGAAGGGTACAAATCGGATCAAGAAAATTACAGAGGAATTAATTTATTAAACACATCACTACCAAAACAACACAATAAAAGTAAAAGTGGAAGAAAAACTAACCGACCCTATAGAAACTGGCAATGGGATAGGACAGGGAGATTAAGGGACAGGGAGACATAAGAAATGAGAGAAAAACAACTTAAAATTATCTGCTATGCAGACGACGCAATACTACTGTCTCAAAGTGAACACGATTTACAACGTATGCTGCACCAATTTTATAAAACCGCCAGAAAATTTAACATGTTAATTTTCCCAAACACTATGGGACAGAGCTAGAAGTACAGATATACGCCGTATATGCAAGGTGCCGAACAACAAGGACTGGGTAAGAAGTAGAAGAGTAGAATGAAACGATCTTATAAGTCGAATGACAGCAAATAGAGACGGTATGAGACGGTTCCCCAATAGGAAGACGATCAGTAGGAAGGCCATGAAAACAATGGAACTTATTGGAGGCACATTGAAAAACAGACAGAGTCATGTCTACATAAAAAGAAGAAGAAGACTTTGGAGACCTAGGAGAATACCGATGATTTTAAAATCTTCACAAATTAACTAATTGCTTTTCTCATATTCAGTATTTTCTATGAGAATTTTCATATTGTCATATGTTGGAGCATATTTACTTTTATTATGTAAAAGAGCAGCTTTGAAACTAGTTTTTGATGAATCTCTAAAGAATCTTCATTCAGTAGGTTTATAGTCAATTCCAAAATGTTCCATCACTATTTAAAATGTTATTGCAGCAAACTATTGCATCTCTTTCTTGAAAGTAAGGAGCAAGTTTTCGTTCACGATGACGATAAAACGAAAAAGTGACATTCGTCGCAAGATTTTTTTATTTTAATCTGGATCTAAGAATGTCTGCAGCATCCTTTAAAATATTTAAACCTCTAACTAAATCGTTTAATTCTTCTTAAGTAAAAACTTGAGGTGTGTGATTTCCATGTCTTGTCTTGATCTCCAAGTTTTACACCAAAATATGAAAACTTCACATTTTCTACAAATTTGACAATATGTTGTCTCTGTTTTACAACCACAAATATAACAAAATACATTAGAGCTATTTTCACACGATATTTGATATTAACTCATTTTAAAACAAATATTAAAAAAATATTTACCTGTTTATACAACACGACAGTAGAATTGAAACTGACGCGCTTCCTGTATCTTCAATCTCGACTAAGCTTATCACCAGAAGGCTAATATTTCCCGCCATAATTAGAAGGGGTGCCAATTGTATATAAATAAACTTTACTGTCCACTAGGTAGGTACTTTATCAATACTTCGAAATAATTACTTTTTACACCCATTTACATTTACATATTTAAACAAGTCACTACAATAAAACCTACTGTCATTTTTCTAAGTGTAAAACCTATTTATGCAATCTGTATAGCAAAAAAACTGTACGTGATAGGAAACAAATTTGGATTCAGCGCCAAAAAATACCATAGAAAAACAATTTTGTCCTTAGACATCAAAATCTTTACAGCACCATGTTATCCATGATACAGGATCATTCTGCTAAGTACCCACTTATATTCTTCTGCCTCTTGTTGCATATATGTATGTGCATATAATATGTTGTTATTACTGTAATGCCTCTGTTGCTATCCCTGTTTTGACATATCTTTCTTTATGGATTGATGTTAAAAATACTGTTTTCTTATTCTTCTTTTATTTTTCACGAACATAAAATATGCCACAAACCTTTTAGGAATAAACATAATGAATGTCAATATCACTATCATTAGTTTGAACTAATGAACTAAACTTATGAGAAAATATTTTTCAAATGTGCATTCAAAACTTTTCTATCTGAAACTGTTATATAAACATTCCAAAGCCAAGTTTAAGGCACTTACCTTCATGTCTAAATGTAATATCCTCTGTTTGTGTATGAAATCGACGCCTTCGCATATTTGCCTCATGAAAACCGTGCAGCTTTTCTCAGTCAATATAAAATCGTCGTCGATGACCCTCTCAAACAACTCGCCGCCTTCGATTCTGAAAAATTACAAAAATTCCGTAGTGACTAATCACCACTGGTCTTAAAAAGTTTATTTTCTATCCACAAATAGAGACGAATCGATTTAGTAAATTAAAATTTTAATCAAATAGCCATGAATTCTAATAAATAATTTATAGAACAGGTAGAACAATGATAACAATTGGTATGGACGATTCTTGTGATATTTTATGTTTTAATACCAAATATGAGATGACACATCAATGCAATTCCCAGGCTGTTTAAATGTTTTAATCCATACGGGGCAATACGGGTCGTGGGAATCTATGTCTGTACCTCAAAGCAAAAAGAACCAATGTCGAAATTGTTAGTTTTGAGTTATGGTACATGGAAAATAATTCTCCACAAAATGCATAACCCATTTCTCTTTTCTTTTTATTTTTTCGATTAATCTGTTTATTTGTATTTAAAGTATATACAATGTAATCTCAACTTATGTCATTTTTGTGGTTTTTATAGGAAACAGTTCTGAAAAAAAGTTGACATTGGTTGTTATAGCACTAAATACAATGACCCTTTTGATTACATTGGTTATATAAACTTATTAGACAGGTGATTAACAATATTTTATTTTCAGTTTATTATGTCTTTATTTATATATTATAAATAAATACAGCTGTGGATTATTGAATAAGGTACTACATAATACGAATTAACGAAAACTAAAAATTAATTCTGACAACACAAATTTTATTTTTAATGTAATACGTGTTTTCTTAATGTGTTTATTTTTAAATGATTTTCTTTTTAATTCTATTTCACTATCAGAAATTCTTTCTTCAGTTTCTTCTTTACTTGTTATAATATTTTCATAAAAGTACCGACTCGATTCGCTGATGTACGGGAGAAGTGCACGTAAGTCTTTAATTTTTTTTACAGGCAAAGGTAATCGGCCAGAATACAGTTGGTTCAACTTTGAGTCAAATAGGTTGGGTGACACCTGTTTTACGAGTAGTTCGTGCAGGATTTAAATCAAGAAGTTTAAACGCTTCATCCTCCTTAAAAGATAGCTGGTGGTATACTTTCCCTATATCACCCTTTCTGAATTGTAACCACTTAATACTTAACCAGGGAACCTTTCCTTTGTCATTATTTTCTTTCCTATGTATGAATTTTTTATTTTGTACTAATGTTTTAAAACTAAGGAAATCTGTTTGCTCCAGTTCAGCAACATTGATTTTATCTTTTTTCATCCTAATCCATCGTATCAAATTCGCCCAATCCCTTGGCAGATCTATTTTCAACGTTGTCTTCCTTTTTCCTCTTCAATTTGGGCATGACTTGTAGCTGCCTCTAAATGGGTGTGACCAGGCTGCAAGTACTTGTGATTAATAACCACCACATTCATTTCCGGTTTATATACAATATCGGACTCTAAAAAATGTAAATACATTAGCGCAACATAAATATTTCGGTTTTGCCCAGTAAAAGAATCACTGAATATGTTCATTTCCTTAACTTTTTTCGGTAAACTTAGTAACATATTCTCTACAAATGAATATATCTCTTCTCCGCCACGTTGTGCTATCGTCTCATCCCAAATAAAGCAAGTAGCATCATACTTTCTCTTAATAACAGAAAAAAAGTCAAATTATAAGTGCATAAGGACTTTTTATAGAAGGACACATTATTTTGCAATGATGGTGTTGGCAGACATTTTTCCATATCAAACTTAATAAAAGCATATTGAGAATCATCTAGACTTTTTAGTTTGTCATTTCTCTTTTCATCGTAAGAAGATTCTGCTAGGTCTAAGTGTTGTTTGTGAAGAGCAGATGCAAGCAGAGCAAACGTAATAAAAGCATATTGAGAATCATCTAGACTTTTTAGTTTGTCATTTCTCTTTTCATCGTAAGAAGATTCTGCTAGGTCTAAGTGTTGTTTGTGAAGAGCAGATGCATTAGATTTTTCTTCGACATTGTTGCTTAAATCCATGATAATCTTGTAATGGTCACACTTTGCACATGTGTCTTTTTTGGCTTAGGCAATGCTAAATTGAATTTTTCTACAAAAATTTTTCTGTAAACACATTCTTTAACTATATCAGAAATTTCATTTTCTTCACAGTAAAGCTTGTATAACCTATACATTTTGGAGATATTTAAGTCTAATTGTAAATATTTCTTTTCTGTTCTGTTACGAGAGTAATGACTTTCAGCTGCTGAAAACATCTGAATATGAGCGTTTACACACTTTTCAGTATCAGAAGATGTTTTCAATTGGTGTCCATCCTTGCCTCTCCTATCTGAAGCACATACAACTGATTGCCGTTTTTTTACGATAATAGTTCTAATTTTCATATGTGTGACTGACAATGTATTCATAAACATTGTCTGACATACTTCTATTCTCTCGAGAGTATCCTCTTTTTATAGAAAATATGTACGAGTAAATTGTCGACGACTTCTTAAATTATCTGTCCTTATTCGTTCAGTTTTTTTTAGCATCTCTTCCATATGGTCACACAAATATTGATTCTGACTTTCAACTGATGTCTTATAAAACTTTGTAAATAATATTTTTTTTATTTTAATATTTTCTGAACATTTTTCGTTACATTTCTTTTTACATGTTTCTTTACAGGATGGGTGTAGACGTTTGGCAGGTACATTCTTTCCTACGATATTAACAAATTCTTTGCCCTCAGCCTTAGCTCTTTTTCTGATATTTCTTATCCATTTTTTTTACTCCTGACACGTTTTCTAGATTTACGTCCTTTTGATTTCCCCTGTACTTTATTGTCACACTGTTCGTTATTCTAGGTTGCCTGGTGTAAATGCTTTTTACGGATTTGCTGTATCTTCTTCTTCTTCTTCTTCGTCTAGCCATTCACGTCCACATATGAACATAAGCCTCTTCAAGTCTTCCTTTCCATTGTTTTTTATTGTACGCTACTTGTAGCCAATTTTTCCCGGCAGTCCTTTTCAGATCATCTGTCCATCTCATAGGAGGTCTGCCTCTGGGTCTTTTGTGTTGGTATGGTCTCCAGGTTAAAATTGATCTGTGCCATTTGTTTAGATCGCTCCTAGCTACATGTCCAGCGTATTCCCATTTCAACTTTAATGATTTTTGCACTACATCGGTGACTTTTGCTGTATACTGCCTCCATAATCACTATTCAAGTCACTAGTTTCAGGAATATAATCATCAGAAGATAAAAATAACATATTAACATCAGGACCAAAGCTGATTTTGTCTGAAGTAATATTTCCAGAAGTTGAAGTACTTGGATGACATCTACTTTGTTTGATTTGACGGCCTTCGTTTAACTGGCTTGCTGAAACAAAACACATACTCAACAATTTTCCTCAAATTTACAATATCCTATCAACAATGTAATCCTATACTATAATAGTGCCAGTGCCAAAAAGATAAAAAAAATAGTAAGATGAAAAAAACACACAGTTCAAATGATTCACTTTTTAGCTTATTGTGATAAAAACAGTGCCACTTCTACATTTGTTTTCGAAAGTCTAATATGACGCAATAAGTGATTGCATGATAGCACAGAATACTAATCACAACTTAGTGTTCTGTGATGATAGTAAGTATCAAATGTGAGGTTAAGTTAAAATATTCTTTAATTATTTACTCATTTATCTTCTTAAAATATTCCCTGCTTTAACAGATAATTAATTTTGTATAATACACTACGAGTAATGAATAGCAATATGTCGAAATTCTGGTAAATTTTCAAATGTAGGTACTTACCCAATGTATCCTGTTCGTTTGAGCACAAACTAATTATAAATTTGGATCTTTGATTCATAGTCACTTACAAAAAGCAAATAAAAACCAACTGTACTATTACAATTAACTTTTTTAGGACAGTAAGAATCCAATACTGAACCCTGCGTTCTAATAACGTTTATAACCTCTCTTTTGGAGTCTGTTAGTTCGAAAATAATCCAATGACTACAATAGCACTACACTCCTGAACACAATCCACAACATGCAAGAACAACCAATCTGGAAATAGGATCTTATTGCATAGAAAAAATTCTACGTTTAGAAACCAATGTCTTGTTTGAATGTTATTGTACAAATTAGTGTGCAAAATCCTAATTGACATTGGTTTCGTAAAACTTCGATACGACCCTCAAAAATCATTATATCACATTGGTTGTTCTTGAAAAAAATTGAGTTTGGTGCCAGTGATCTCTCAATTTGGCAAAAATGTGACATTGGTTGTTCTTGTATTAAGGTACAGATGTAGTCCCGGACCAAGGGCTCAGAAATTACTCACAGACGCGTCGCTTAACCTTGATGAGACACTTTTATGTAAATGATATGGCAGTCTATTGGAAAGGTAAGAGGAATGAAGAATCAGTTGGCAGTAAATATGATTTGACTTTTTATACGACAAAAAAGATATAATGAGTGTTCACAAAAATTATTATTAAATGAGAAACTGTAACTAACTCAACGAAAACTTAAAAACTTGCAGACAAGTATTTCTGGTATATAGGCTTTAGAAGTTCTGGTTATCTGACATCCTAATATTGCAAACATTTTTACGTAAAATAGGCTACAGGATCTCCCTTTTTTCTGTTTTAAAAAATATGGTCCGTGTCTTTGTTGTTATCTAGAACTGGGGTGTCCTTATATTTTATCACTTCCTCTCAAAATTTAATTTTGAACTTTAACTAGATTGGAAAAGATGGAAACAGCTCTTAGCTCTTCTGTTTTCTCATATCTCTATAAATATAGCATTTATACTCCGGTAATGGTAATGTTAATAAAACTTCTCGTTTCAATTTTTTCTAAATTCGATTTTTCGAATGTTTCCTTCGATTGCTTAGTAAAGTACTTAGAATATAAATTCTTTACTATACCTTATTCCATTAAGCGATGCAGGGCATATAAACAACGATAAATTTAACAGATAATTGTTAAAGATGTTTCAAATGAGTTTACTCGTTCCGATAAGTAACAGTATAATTATGACACTTTATTAGTTTTTTTCTTTTCTCAAATA